CTCCGGTTTAGAGGAACTAGGCAGCACTGGTTAGGAGTTGATCAAAATGGTTGGATGCATTCGAAAGCTGAATTTCTAAGCTTTAAAATGATACCTAATTCTTTAAAAAAAAAAAGTTATATAAAAGATAAAATAGACAGAAACATTCTAGGTTTTACATTCTGCTTGCCAAGTGTTCAATAGAGCTTTCTAACTGATTTCTTCAATTCATGGGTTTAGGTATTATTTACACAGGAAAGACGCAATGGATTGTTTTGATTTTGGACTCATTTCAGTCGTGAGAATCTGCTGTAAATAATGATATGCCATTTTCCGATCGGAGCATGTTTCATGAAATGATAAGCGTAAAAAACATGAGAATATTGCAACGTGCGCATTTGGAGTTTAATATCTTTAGATCTAAATGACAGCTTATGGTATGAATGGGCTCATTTTAATCGAGAGAATTTTCCATTTTCCATGATCTATGCATGTTTCATGAAGTTATAAATGAAAATGTAACCTATGTTTTTCTCAATTTAATGGTTTCATGTGTGTGATAACATCACATGGTAAGTCATATATTTAGATCCAATGAATGAATTCGAGAATGTTCTGAAAATAATGACGTGCAATTTTCCATGATCTATGCATGTTTCATGAAGTTATGAATAAAAGCGCAAAGTGAAACTACAGTTATTTGTCCTGCTGCTCCTGAAGCGCGCCCATGGGGTTTTATGTGTTATAGCAATATCTTCAGATCTCATCGACTGATTATGGTATCTCTGGGCTCATTTTAATCGGGAGAAGTTTCTGAAAATAATGACATGCGGTTTTTCAAGATCTATGCATGTTTCCTGAAGTTATTAATGAAAAAGCAACATGAAGCATTAAGTTGTTTTTCTTTGCAGTGCCTCAAGTGCGCCTGTCTGCTTCATGTGTTACAGCTCTATGAACGAAATCTTTCGATCTGATCGACGGATTGTGGTAAATTTGGGCTCTTTTTAATCGGGAGAATTTTCTGAATATAATGCTGTGCGGGTTTCAAGATCTATGCATGTTTGGTGAAGTTATGAGCTAAAACGGCACAGGACTGCAACCTCTGATTTTTTTGCTAAGCTACATGACCTAATTCTTTTCTATGTGTTATAGCTTTATGAGAGGTATATTTAGATCTGAGCGATGGATTATGGTGAGTTTGGTCTTTTTAATCGGGAGAATTTTCTGCAAATAATGACGTGTCGTTTTCTATGATATATGCAAGTTTTATGAAGTTACAAGTGAAATCGCCACATGACAGCTACCTTAGATTTTTTTGGGCTAAACTACATGGTGCCTGTGCAGTTTTATGTGTTTTATAAATTCATGAGGAAAATCTTTAGATATAAATGGCAGATTATATATGGTTTTTGGCTCTTTTTAATCGGAATCTGCTCTAAATAATGGTGCCTAGTTTTCCACGATCTGATCATGTTTTATGAAGTTACAAGTAAAATGGTGACATCAATATATTATTTTCATATGGGTCTGGGGGTGACTTCTTGTACAAAAACTCGCTCCAGTTTATTCAAAGCCCCAAACAATTATGCTTGTTTTATTCTACAAATAACATATGACACATGACTATCCGAGCTGTATGATATTTTTGACGTATTAGAGTACATGGCACAAAAAACATATTTTGTAAATTATGATTTTTTTTTCATTTATCAGCAAATAACTCGGCACTACTTTGGAGTTAATCAAAGGGGCTACATGCATTGTAAAGCTCCGACTCTGAGCTTTCAAATGATATAATTTTTGTGTTGATCAAGGCAGCGTCCCGCCCGTGGTACACTTGGTTTCGAGGGAATGCTTAGCACTCGTTAAGAGTTGATCAAAATACATTACATTCATTAAAAAGCTGAGATTCTAAGCTTTAAAACGATACCTATCTGTGTTATTCCATTCAGGGGTTGCTTAGTAATTTGATTTTGAATTTTTTCGGCGGGACACCTCGGGTTTAAAGCAGGGGCGTAGATTACGCGGGGGACGTTTTTTTTTTTTTTAAAGAAGTCTCTTCTGTTCACCAAGGCTGCTTTTATTTGATCATAAATAAAAACAGTAATATTGTGAAATATTATTACAAGTTAAAATAACTGAATATCAGTGTCAGTTGAGGTGTGTTCATGCCGAGTCATAAAGATTAACTTAATGGTCTTGTAACTTTCTATCAAGTGTTTGATTGCATGAGTGAAAAGCGTTAGTAGTAGAAAGTAGGCGCGTTTCCATTACCCTTCAAATTGCGCAAATTGAAATTGCGAATTGAAAATACGCCTAATGGAAACGCGTCAATTTCGCAAAAACTCCCATATATCGCAAAAAAGTTTTTACGCTCGCATGAGGTGGTTTTTCAGGCAATGCGAAAAAGGAATAATTCGCAAAACTGCAATGGAAACGGCTTTTTCGCATTTACAGGTCACATGGCATATGTAAAAAGTCATATGATCATTCTTCAACGTACTATAACCTCCAAGAAACACTTCATAAGTGGCCGCGCTCCAGTATAAAGGGGCTTTCCCTACCATTAATGCTTAGACAATTTACACTGCACACGTCTGCGGTGCACTGTGGCTCTGATACGGTCACTGAATCTGACTGCGGCCACTCAGTGCTTGTGTTTATATTTTTATACAGTCTATGGTTTATTCCAGCCGCGCCACGCACGTTTCTGAAGCGGCTCTCTTTGCTGCTTCTGTAAAGATACACGCAAAAGCCTCCTTTGAATAAATATAGCCAAAATCCGTTGCCATGACTTATCGCGAGAGGCAAAAGGTTACGTTTTAGTCGCATAACATTGGTTAATGGAAACACCGTCATTTCGCAATACTTTTTTATCGACATTTATAAAATATCGCCAAAGTTTTGCGCAAATCTGTAATGGAAACGCGCCAGTGACTCTGAATTTGGCTTACCGACATTGCTACATAGCGACACAAGTCACCGAGCGATGCCACAGCTTGTTAAACAGCGCTTATTCGGATGTAAGGTTTGTATTTTATATTAATAAATATATTCCGCGTAGACTGCAGTTAAGCGATCATTAATAATTAGATAAGAGCGGAAATTGTCTCGTTTGGGTCACTGGCTTGCCATGGTCTGAGTCTGAGTGTTTATGCTCTACAAATAAGTCTAACTTTTTCTCAAGTAACCTGTAAACCTACCTGTTCTGTAAAAGCATTGAGCGGCACAGGGCGCAGCCATTTTTTCCACAGAGGAGAGTCACGTGCTCTTTCAAACAAACAGTAGCGGATGTTTTACACTAGAGTTGAAAATGAAGGGATTTGTTTTATACGTAGCATATTTATTGATACAAATCTGACTTGAATGTAAACACTAAAGTGGGCTTGGCAAAAATGTTAATTGTAGCCTACCCATATATGCCATAAAATCTCCTGAAATTGACGTCACTCATTTTCAAGTAGCCTATTTTTTATTTTATTTTTATTTGGCCTATTTTATATTTTAACTTTTTTTTTTTACAAACGTCTAAAGATTATGATCTTATCTTTCTTACTGTTGAGCCTACCTGCTTGTATGTACTTTTCCCTTAGCTATTAGAAATTGTGACAGTTGTATATATTAGCATATATATCCAGCCCATACAAATACTGTATGTTTGTGTATGTGTACATTTTTGGATAAATGTCATGTACATGTATATCCATCCTAAAAACCTCCCAATATGTTGATATTATATAAGTAAATATAAAAGATTTAAGAAATGTATTACAAAAATGTGTATAAACATACAATATTTGTTTTGTATATTGTTTTAATGAAGTTGCATGTATAAATAATATACAGTATATATATATATATATATATATATCTTCCTCTACGCAGATAATGTGAAAACTACATATACCTTTATGGGTAAAATATATGGCAATATCACTCTTGATATAGGGCAATATATGTCATATATTACATTTCAAAATAGGATTATGGGTCATTTCCTATTCCTGTAAAATGTATTTTCATAATCACTGAAAAGTATTGAATTGCCGGCATATTTTTTAGTGTTGTATATTGCACAGTGAAAAGTAGCATAATAATTCCTCTTCTTCTCATAGCATGTGGTTCACTGTAAAGCACTCTTCATATTTTCAATATAAGGCTTTTGTGTGAGTCATGAATAAAGCAGTTGTTTGCTCTGCTGAGAGTTAGAGGAAAACAGTTTTGGAATAGGCTATAGGTAAGACCGTACGCGCAAGACTGTCATTTCTGAGCTATCTGTCTGAGATCTGAGGAAACACACCGACCGAAACACTGACACATTTTCTCTCACACTTATAAGAGCCTGCAGACTGCAAAATTTGAATTGAAACATGACATACAGCTGAGCTTCAGTCAAGTAACAGTCATACGAATGTTCAGTGATTATTTGATTCTTTTGTTTGTGTGTATTTGAGTCTTTTGGTTGATCATTCAGTAATTTATTCTGCCCTCTAGTGATCTAGGGCTCTGACTCATGTGTATATCAGAATATAATTATATGAATGCTGATGATGTGAACTCATTACAACTTTACAACTAAGCCCTTTAAACTTTCAACATAGCCATCCACCTTCACGATGCACTGCTCTCAAAACAAATATCTAAATCTAAGGACAGCAATGCACTAAAAAAAAAGCTGTTATATATGGAAAATATTTATAATTTAATAATTTAAATTATTATTAAAATATTTATAAATCCGATATTTCATGAGCATGCATTATATTTATATTTATGCAGATAATCATATCTTAAAATTCTTTATCTTAAAAAAAAAAACAAGGTATCAAATTCATGAACAAATTTTATTTTTAATTATCACATGCGTGGCCGCATTACGCAATAACATTACGCAATAACATTACGCAAAGTGCATGATGTCCAAAAAAATAACATATTTGAGAAAATTTGTTTGAACAAATTATGATCATTAATCATCATAGAATTATGAGCTAGTATGGCATAAACCATGTTTGGTGTAATTAATAGAGCTTGCATATGTCTTGATAGTCGAATTAGTTACGCTTCTGATGAGAACTGGTTTTCATCAGAAGAACATTTCAGGATTCTAGTTGAACCATGCAGGTAATTTATTTTATGGTTAAGGCCTAATTTTCACTAGGCCTGTGTGTACAGGCAGGGGTATTAAGGAGGTGCCAGGGAAAACTTGGAACGATTGTGATTTTGTCTTTGTTACATCCATAAAAAGGGAATTATAATTTTGAAATAAAAAACATGTTAGGGTTATAAAGAATTGAAATGGTAATAAACTAAACAAAAACTAAAATGTATGTACAATTTTAAATTACATTAAATATTGTTTCAAATTGTTCACATTTAGGAGGCATCACAAGAACTAAATTATAAATAAATTGTTGAACCTGAGAGAATCAAATCAGTGTGTGAACATATACACACACACACACACACAGGTTTGTTTTTGTGAAAAGTGGGGACATCCCATAGGCATAATGGTTTTTATACTGTACAAACTGTATGTGCTATTGCCCTACACCAACCCTACACCTAAACCTACCTCTTACAGGAAACTTTGTGCTATTTCAGATTTTCAATACACTCCATTCTGTGTGATTTATATGCGTTTTGAAAAGTGGGGACATGGGGTAATGTCCTGAAAAGTCACCTTCTCCTTGTAATACCTATGTCATACCCTTGTCATTATACAAATTTATGTCCTCATTTGTCACAAAAACGCGCGGGCGCGCACACACACACACACACACACACTTTGGGACAAGTAGAATGATGGTGTTAAAATGACATTAGCTTTGCAGCACTTTCTACAGACATCGACGCGCCTCATAATGGATAATAAGGGCTCTACTGCCCTCTAGCGGTGTATCAAGGTAAACCGACTCAGCTCTAGCTCCACCCCATTAAAATCATCAAAATGGCCAGTTAATAGCTTTCGAAGTGTTTAGAACGGTAAGGGACTAGTTAGTTTATATATATATATATTTTTTTAAAAACTGTGGCTGCTTGGAGCCTCTCGATAGTCTGTAGTTCTAACAAATACACTGTGTGTCATTTTATAGGTGCATTTTAACTGCCTTGCTGTTCAAAATACGACACAGAACCTTTCCGACTCTTACTCACTCCGGGATAATATTTAGTTGGCGCACCGTACACACGTGGGTTAACTGTGTGGCGTGTTTTGGTGGAACAGCTCCTCTAAACCACCGTCGATACGGTTATTTGGACCATGCTGAAATCCAAAACATTTGTGAAGAAGACCCGCTCTGGTGGAGTGCTGAAGATAGTGCGCGAACATTACCTCAGAGATGACATCTGGTGTGGAAGTGAAGTTTGTAAGGAGTGTAAAGATGAAGCGCCTGTGCTGCAAGAGCACGCATGCATAGAGAGCAACCTGTGCTCATATCCGCACTATTTAATCCCAGACACCAATGTGGTTTTACATCAGGTATGTGGTTTTTATTTATTTGTATTTTTTTTATTAATAGCTGTTTATTATAATAAGTGTGTTTGTTATGGACAGTTTTTTTGTAAACAATTGTCAAAATAATTGTAAAAGAATTAGAGGACGTCTTGTTTAGTCACAGTGTGCCATATCACTAAACGCCGATCTATTACACATTAAAGAAGCAGTGTTTTCTGTTCATTTTAATTTTTTTGGCAAGTTGTTTCATTCTAAGTGTAGGTGACCCAAAAAGTGCGAATCAAAGACCACAATTTGCTTTTTCATAATTCATTCTGTATCATAAAAAATAGATATCAACATTACATTAAGACATTTTTGTTGTATTGTGTGTTTTCTGAAATATGTTTAAATATGTAAATGAGATATTATGTAATGAAATATGCACTGATTTGCATATATTTCCAGAACAGTAGTTAGAGTGAAATGTTATAACAGTGGGGATTTTAAAATGGTCTTTTTATCACTCCATAAATCAGAAAATACTGTCAACAGCCAAAATAAATCATTTTGAACCATATTTTTAGGAATAAGATCTATAAATCAGGTGAAGGATATGAACAAACCCATCTGTAAAACCCTTCAGAATATAGATAGGAATAAAACGTAAAGTCTGGAATGAAAGTGCTGCTGAAGAAAAAAACCACAGCCTTTAAAAAGACATTGCATTAAATGATATAGCCACAAATAGATAAACACTTAAATGTGTATTTTGAATGTTTTCTTTCCACTAGTCTGAAAGAAGACATGTTATGAAAAGCCAGATCTCAAAATTGACCAGTCCAGTGCGTGAATACACAAAGGTGTTGCCTGTAGTTACTTGCGTTAAAAAGACGAAATTGATTTGGTATTAAATTCTCACAGATTGACATCCTTGAGGACCCTCTGATCAGGAACGTCATCATTCTTCAGATTGTTTTACAAGAGGTCAGACACAGGAGTGCCCCAGTCTACAAAAGAATCAAGGATGCTATTCATGAGAAGGAAAAGCACTTCTACACCTTCACTAATGAGCATCACAGGTAACACTGTAAAAGGCTGTGTTTGTCCTAACAGTAACTCTGTGACATGCATTTGATTTGACTTGAATACATCTTCAAAGACAGTGCTTGATGTTAGGGCCATGCTTGTCATTGTCTCATTTTTATTTTTGTTTTAAGGGAGACATTCATTGAACGAGAGCAAGGGGAAAGTGCTAATGATCGTAATGATCGAGCCATCCGTGTCGCTGCTAAATGGTACACAGATCACCTTGCTAAAAAGACCAATGGTGGTTCGCTGAAAGTGGTCCTGCTGACCGATGATCGATCCAATAAAGAGAAGGCAGAGCAGTATGGTCTGATTGTGTACAGATGTAAGAGACACTTATTTTTGACTCTTTTTATTGTTCTTGTTGTCATTGCAGTGGAAATTTGAAGTATTAGGGCTGGTTTAGGGTTATCTTGAATGGAATTGTTCAAATTGCAAATTCCTTTATACACTACCATTCAAAACTTTTGGGACAGTATTTGAATTATTATTTTTTTTTAATACTTTAATTCAGCAAGGATGTCTAAAGCAACAGCAGTAAAGCGGTAAAGACATTTATAATGTTACAAAATATTTTTATTGAAAATAAATGTTTTTGTTTTGAGCTTTCTTTTCATCAAAGAAAATGGAAAAAAAATGTATTATGGTTCCACACTAATATGAAGCAGCAAAGCTGTTTTCACCATCGATTATAATAATACACATTTCTTGAGCAGCAAATCAGCAAATTTTAATGATTTCTGAAGTATCATGTGAACTGAAGACTGGAGTAATGA